ATGTCTTCCCTCCTGCTCCTCCTTTCCTTCCCTCTCTTCCTTCTTCTTCCACATACTAGACATACATTGCTTAAGACAAAGCAAAAGAAGTTGCCTCTTTAGTTACAGAAAAATTAATGCAATTGCTCTGAAAGAAAATGTAATGATTCACATGAACCAGGTCAATGCCATGAAAACCAAATGCCGGGTTATATTTCACGTGAGTCCCGGTGAGGGATGCATTCAAATAGGAACCGGCTGATAGGGATGGTCTGCATGACACTCAGCTCACTCTTTGTGGGGACAATATACAATGTCTGCTAACCACATAGTATCTTCATTTACCAATATGGCAGGAGAAACCACTTTGTACGACCTGTCCTAATACAACAGTTTTTATATTAATTTAGTTTAGTGTTTTCCAGCCACAGCAAGCTCAGTATTATATTTGTGCGAGTGAACCAGCGATCTTTTCTGTCAAAGAAAGGAGCTCACTGCCATCTTAGGCTCCACCTTACCCCTCCCCTTCCTCTGAATTAGCCAATTGCGCAATAATGTGAATCCAAGCTCTGAGTCAGCGTGAGGGGCAGGGCAGAACACATCAGCGAATAAAACCCTAGCGGACTTCCCCTTCCGTGTGATTTGCCCATGGGTTTCAGCTGGCAACAGCATCCATCTGCGCAGGAGCAAACTTACCTTGCCAATGCAGTTTTGAGTGTTTGTCTCATTCCCAAGACACTGTTGACAAGCATGTCTGCTAGTAACATACTGAAGGTCATTCTTGGCAGATGGATTCTTCCCAAGCGCTGAGGGGAAGAACACACAGCTGAGCCAGCTTCCTCATCTGCCTGGGCTTTGTCACAGAGTCCTTGGTAGGACTGAATGAGCGGATGGGTGTGGAAGTGTCTGAAATCTGAAGTGTGTGAGTGTTAGTGACAGTATTTAACCTTTGGGGAGGAGATCGAAGATGGCCCAGGGTTGTAAACCACAACATTTCAAGTCAGACGGAACTGGTTCTAACTAACGCGTGTTGCGTGAACTCCACTGTGCTACTTGAACTCCCTGGGTCTCTGTCTCTTCTGCTGTAAATTCTGGATCATAACACGACCTTGTGAGCACCGCACCAGGCTCCTAGAAGGCACTGGGTGAACCTCAGGGCTCCTTGCTTAGGCTCCTGAGCCCAGTGCCCGTGTTAGGACGGCGCTGTCTCCTTAGAGAGCACTGACTGACTTAGTCTAGTGTAGAAGAGCTTTAATGGCCCATGCAGGTCATTACATGGAGGAGACAGCTGAGACCCAGAGGGGCAGCTGACTTACCCAAGTGACAGAGCTAAGGGCAGAATTGGAAGTTGAATCCAACTCTAATTTCAACTCCAGCAGTGTGTGTGTGTGTGTGTGTGTGTGTGTGTGTGTGTGTGTGTTTTAACAATATTAAAGTAACCTTCATAATATCATTATTTTACCTGACCTTACCTTGTGAAGTGATCTTTATTAAGAACCCATAGAGTATGTGTAGGTAGCATTGCTAGAACAATTCATTCAAGCCTGAGTTGTTCTATTTCACAAGTAGCCAGGCACAGGACGTTAGGCAAAGAAAGGTTTCCCTGTGTATCTTGGGCTATTCTCTGTAACAGAACCACATGGTATTATTTGGTCTCTGTGTCTGGGGTTTAAACCTGTGCTCCCTTGTCTACATTTTTTAAAAATATATTTTTATTGATTTCAGAGAGGGAGGGAGAGGGAGAGAGACATAGAAGCATCAATGATGAGAGATAATCATTGATCAGCTGCTTCCTGTATCCCCATTCTCCCCCCTACCCAAGGGGATCAAGTCTACAACCTGTGCATGTGCCCTTGACTGGAATCGAACCTGGAACCCCTCAGTCCGCAGGCGGATCCTCTATCTACTGAGCCAAACCAGCTAGGCACCTTGTCTACATTTTATTTGACTTCAGATTCCCTCTTGCTATTACTCCAGAGACATCCGCATGTCTACTGAACCTTGTAGTGGAAAGAGCGTAGCACTAAGGCCTCAAGAGACCCAGATTCCAGTTCCACAATGTGGTATTAACTAGTTGTCAGACCTTGGGGGAAACATACCTACTACCTCTCTAACAGCTCTGAAGATCTTGATGTGAGTCTGAAATAATTCTAACTATTGGTTTCCTATGTTGACTGTAACAAATTACCACAAGCTCCATGGCTTATACAACACACATTTCTGTTCTTATAGTTCTGGAGGTCAGAAGTCAGAAGTGGGTTTCATGTGACTTAAATCAAGATGTGGGCTCCTTCTGGAGGGTCCCAGGAGCCTCTACTTCCTTGTCCTTTTCAGCTTCCAGAGACTGCCTGTATTCCCTGGCTCACAGCCTCTTCCCAACACCACGCCCATCCCACTTTCACCACCCCACTTCCTACTCCTCCCTCTGACTCCTCCAGTGCCCCTCTTGTAAGTACCCTTGTGAGTACATGGGACCCACCCGCGTAATAAGCAAAAACTTCCCATCTCCAGAGCCTTGACGAGGTCACATCTGCACAGTCCTCTTTCCCTATATTAAGGAAACATTCAGAGGTTTGAGGGATCAGGACACGGACATAGCGGGGGAGAGGGGGGATGGGGTTTGTTTAGCCTACCATGGCAACCAAAGTGGTCAATGACACAGGACTGGGGAATGAAGTAGAAAAGAATAAACTTATTTTTGGTATTTTTACTTATATCTTCAAATTGTGAGCAGATGGCAAGGAATATAAATGCATGAACTTCAGAGTCATGTAGACCTAGATTCAAATCCCAGCGGCACCACTTACTAGCTGTGAGGCCTCAGGCAAGTAACATAATCTCTCTGAGTCATTGCTTCCTCATTGTAAAATGGAAATAATAATATGGACTTTATTTTTCATTTGAGGATTAAATTAGATAATGTATGCCACGCTATTAGCATAATGACTATTTCAGGTCAAGGTCTCAGTGAATGAATGAGGCTATCAACACTGCAAAAGCCCAGGTCTTTGCAAGTTTCCCTATTTATTTATTTTAAAATATGTTTTTATTGATTTCAGAGAAAGGAAAGGAGAGGGAGAAAGAGACAGAAACATTGATGGGAGAGAAACATTGATTGGCTGCCTTCTGCACACCCCCTACTGGGGATCGAGCCTGTAACCCGGGCATGTGCCCTGACTGGGAATTGAACCGGTGATCTTTTGGTGTATGGGACAACACTCAACCAGCTGAGCCACACCGACCAGAGCAACATGTAATCTTTGACTCTTGGCACTGGATGAGGCATGAGGAATAATGTCTATTTATACTAGGGAGCTATTTCCAGCATTTACTAGTCATTATTGAGGGATAAATAGTACATTTACATATAGGAACTGGGAATTACTTTTGAAATATAAACTGAGGCCTTTTTGCTCAGCCTGCAATTACAGCAAAAGGTGAAGGGTTATAATACTGTTTTGATAGTCATAAAATTGTAGCACTAAAACAGCACTTCATGAAGTCCTTTCATACACAGACACAATTGCAGAGTCTCCGAACTTCAGGGATTTTATGGCTACTGATTCTTTCTACACAATGTGAGCCCTGTGGACTATTAGGTTCTTTCTGAAGTGTTTTCTTCACAAAGCCTTCATTCTGCTGCAAGAGATTAAAAGTACACTTTTGGGCTGTGTACCTACAGTCATCTAAACACTGACTTCACTCTGAAGGCCCAGCTCTTTAACTATTACCAGGCTGCACAAGGGTCCTGACTATCCCACCAAGGCAGGTCTCTGTCTCTAGGAGCACACATTCTGAAAATCAATGCTACATGGAAAGGTGCCATCCAGGAAATATTGGCTCTATTCTAAATAGAGTTGCCTGGTATAAAGGTTTGCAGGAGCCTCATCTGACTTCATTACACATCTTTGTACAGATCTGTGTCCATTTCCCACTCTCCCAACTCCTAGTCTTTCCTGCCCTCAGTCGGCCCTCAGTCGGCTCTCAGGAAGAATCTGAAACTCATTCAGATCAAGGGGTAAATAATCCATAAGGCGTAATGGCCGGCCCTCCCAGCAATACCTACATTAGAGCAGAAATCTCAGTCTCAAACTAAAGTTATGGATTGTCAAGGTGGTCCGTGATTCCTTCTGAAGCCCCTAAAATTGCATTGCATTCCACATGCCATTTATGCACAATCTTAGCTTTAGAACTAGGGAAAGGATGCCAGCAACAAACAAACAAAAACCTGGCTCTACTTGCCATTACTTTTAAAATATACTGTTACCAGGTTGCCTCTAGTGACTACAAAATTCATCGCAATCCCTGTCCTGTTCTTCCAGCCCCAACAAGGTAACTTGGCTGTGGGACTCTTGGTAAATGGTGTGGAGGTTGTCACCCCTCTCCACTCTTGTACCCTCTGGGCCTTCTGCAGGAGAGTGAGGTCCAAGCACAGAGGAGAGGTCCTGGAAGGCTGTGTGACCCGCCCGAGCACATCCTGGCCTTGCCGGCCGAAAGCCCTTCTAAGACACAAGAATTCTGAAGGTCATGTCCTTGCATTTGTCCTAGATAATTACAACTGCCTATAAAAGGAAAATGAAAATATGGTTTTAGTCAGCCTTTCTGAAAAGTAACCAGTCACAGCAGAGGTTCCTTCCAGCTAAGTCAGTAAGTACAGAAGAAATATCCCTTGACTACTGTAGCAGTCCAAGTGTAAGGAAATGATGGTGGTTTTGGTTAAATTTTACTCAAAATGATTCAACTTAAGCTTTGAAGAAAGCTTGGGTCAACAATTAGTCAGCACCTAGTTTCTGCCAAGTGTGAACTGAACTTTCCAAAGCCGTGTTGGGGTTGGAAAGAGCCAATGGGAAAATAGGAAGCAAGAGGTCATGTTGAGTTCAGCTCAGGATTTGGGGTGTGCTTTCCAAAACTCTGCCATTCCAGGCTGCCCACGGATTAAGCAGTGCAAAATGATTAACAAGGCTGTACGTATGTGTGTGTATTGAGGGCACAGTCAACCATTTCAAAAATGCCCTGACCGACAAGAATGCACTCCTCAACCATGGCTCAAGAGAAAAATGATCTCACTCGTAGCCGATTTGGACATGCACGCCTTGCTTATGGTGAGAATCTCAGAAATTTAACTGTGTAGTGAAATAACTTCCGCGCTGTTCCTTCCTGGTTACCTGGAAACCCTCAGAGATAGAGACAATAGCTTGGTTGTTTTTACTCCCTAACATTCAGCACAATGCCCGACACATAATAAATGTTTGATTAATATTTGTTAAATGATAGGATCACATCAGCTGACTAACACAAGGGAACAACGTCATAATCTGGCTGTGTGGTGAGGCCTGTCAGTGTGGAAGCATGTGCAGAGGTAAGTTCACTGGGAAAAAACCCTTATAACTGATAGCCAGTCACTTTCGTGTTTTGAAAACCAGGAAGTGCAAAACACATAGAGCCACTGATTAGTGGATCAGGCAAGGTAACTGTCACCTGGCATTGGATCCACAGGAATGTCAATATGTAGGACAGAGTAGAGAGTGGGAGTGCTGGGGAGGGGGCCTGAGGGCAGAGAAAAGAGAAGGAGACACTTTAAAGCAGCGGTTCTCAACCTGTGGGTTGCAACCCCTTTGGCGGTTGAATGACCCTTTCACAGGGTCGCCTAAGACCATCCTTCATATCAGATATTTACATTACGATTCATAACAGTAGCAACATTACAGTTATGAAGTAGCAATGAAAATAATTTTATGGTTGGGTCACAACATGAAGAACTGTATTTAAAGGGCCAGAAGGTTGAGAACCATTGCTTTAAAGGAAAAAGGGGTTGGGATATTTAAGGGATTAGAAGAGAAGGGATCTATTCCAGTGGATATTCAGACTTCTGGGCCAGCTAGACTTCCTGGGCTTCTGACAGTACAGAAAGCAGTAGCAGATGTCTTGTTTTTAACCAAATGCTTAATAAGATGCAGACAGAGCTCCATCCTTCCTTGTCACTAAGCAATAAGAACAGTACAGGAAAAATGAAACCCAGAGGCAACACACCAAATTTCCTTTCCTCAGGATAATACTTCACATCCGTTCCCATTGGACATTGACAAGAGCGCTTGTCTTGACTGTTCCTGCCTCCTTTTCTGCCACCTCTGCTTCCGTGGTGAGAGAAATGGGGTGAAAGGGGTTTGAAGTGAAAAGCAAAGAGCCTGAGTGGCTCATACCTGGTAATATAGCTCAGGGAGGAAAAATCAGAATCAGACACCAACGGGGAAGGGTGGGATTCTTGAGCTCCTCCACTCCTCTGTCCTTCCCATCCTGCAGCTGGTAAGGGTGTCTGAGTGTGCCCACTCTGTAGTTGTGCAATAAGAGGTGCACATCAGTACTGGGGGATTGTGTTGGGGATGAGCCCCACTGAACACTGTAATGACACACCGTTGCCTTTGAACATTTAAGCCAGGAATGGTTGTCCTGAGCAGAACACTGACCTTTCTGGGCTCGACCTATGATAACTCTACAACTCTGGCCTTGATCTCATTTGTCTAAAATGGCACAACCTCTGCTTTCTGGTGTCTTGGTGCTTCTCTGGTCCCCAGGCTTCAGGGACCCACATCTTTTCTTGTCCTTCGCAGGCCCTGCCTCCCAGGGGAAGTCCTTTTTCTAAACTGGGAGAAGCCCCTCTATCCTGTTTGCTTCTTCCAAGACACTCTGCTTGTAATTTCCTTTTTTCTTTTTTACAAATCTTCTAAATTCTCCCATGGGTTTGGACCTTGTGAAATAAAACCTGGAATTGTTGCTTTTGGCCTTGCTACTGCCCTCTCTGAAAGGCATGAAATGCAGACCCAGCTCCTGGTTGGACAGAGGGAGAGAAAATATAGGAGGGACAAAAAGAAACTCATAAATTAAAGGCTTACAAATATTTTTCAAGTATATATATATATATTTATTTGTAGGTGCTCCAATCCCAAATAATCACAATAACATAAAGAAATAAAATTTTGGGCACTTGAAAGAGGCCAAACTTAAGGGGCCCTTCAGATGCCACTATGTTTGCATTGTCCCCAAATGAATACAAAACTACCCCTGAACACAGTCTCTTGGAATATTTGGTTTGCTTACTAATATTCCTGACATTTCCCTAAAACTTGAGTTCTATTTTTTCTTAACTTTTTCTCATTCCGGTTTTGCTTTACTAATTGCAGGTACTGGTGGATCAGATTTCCTTACCGCTTCCTTCTATCATCTTTGGCTTATTTGCCCTGATTTTCTTCTTGCAAACTTTTACAAACTTTACAAAAAGTTTGAAAATTTATTATAAACTTGCCTCTTTATAAAATTTATTTATTTATTTTTAAATATTTTTATTGGTTTCAGAGAGGAAGGGAGAGGGAGAGAGAGAGAGAAGCATCAATGATGAGAGAGAATCATTGATCAGCTGCTTCCCCCACGCCACACACTGGGGATTGAGCTCGCAACCCAGGTATGTGCTCTTGACCAGAATCGAACCCGGGACCTCCTGGTTCATGGGTCCACGTTCAACCACTGAGCTATGCAGGCCGGGCTAAAATTTGTTTTTAAATCTCTTCCTTCATCCCCTGCTCCCTTTCTTCTGCTTCTGTCTCTCTCCCTCTGTCTTTTGTCCCTCTTCAGTTCTGTAAAGAGTGCTGCAGCCCTAAAAAATATATATAAAAAAAAACCCAAACAAACGACCCTCTGCTGCCCTCTTGTGGATATCCGCTGATTAGCAGGCATGCTTCTCAAAACTAATGAAACTGGCTGGTAAAATGGTTAAGAGAATTGGGATTCTCACCTGCCTCCCACCAGCTGGCTCCTTGTAGTTTGCTTCGCTCTCTGGTGGGAGCCAGGGTACTGACCCAGTAGTTCTTTGATTTAATGTGATAGACTCAGCTAGTTTCCTGTTGCTGGTAGCATACAAGTAAGTTCTCCCATTTTCCTGTCTCAGTCCTGATTCTCATCTTGGATGGGGCAGCTTGACACTTGCTGGATTTTTACCAGGCAGAATCTGAAAAGTCCTTCCCTGGTGTCCAGGCTGACCATTCTGGCCACCAGGGAGTTACTGACAGCTTTTTCTGCTGCTGCTTCTTTCACCCCCTTCCCAAGGGTGAGGCATAATTTATCTATTATATAAAAAGCTGCAGTCATCATGCCATCACGCTGTAATGACCCATCAGCAGGAGGCTGCATGCACAGTAGGCACATGTGGGTGGGCGAGGACTTGACTCTGGAGGACTTGACCGGAGGCATGGGTGGATTTCTGGGTCCAGATGGCGCGATGGGCGGGTTTCTGGGTCCCGCCTACCACGGCGGTGGCAGCGGCGGCGGTGGGACTCTTTCTGGGTCCCACCGAGGCGCGGCACTCTGGGTCCTGGGTCTCGTGTGATCTTGCGCGCTGGGCCCCTAGTTTTACTATAAACGTAACATGTTTATTTACACATTCTTTAGGAAAAGCAGGTAGTGAGACAAGTAATAAATGTCACCTGTGAATGTCGACATACTGTCATGCTGACAGTTTCCATTGTATCCTATTTGCAGGTGTATCTCTGAAAAAGTGCATCCTACTGTGGAATAGAAGTGTTTTTTTTTTAAATTTTATACTCCTTTACTTTTATTTAAAATATGTTTTTATTGATTTTTAGAGAGAGTAAGGGAGGAGGAGAGAGAGATGGAAACATCAGTGAGGGAGAAACATCAACACTAATTGGCTGCCTCCTGCATGTCCTCTGCCAGGATCAAGCCCACAAGCCCGGAATCAAACCGGTGACCTCTTGGTGCATGGATTGATGCTCAACCATTGAGCCACACCACCTGGGTTAGAAGTGGTTTTATATACCTCTTTTCACAAACAACATATCGCTAACATTTTCTATGTAAGTTGCACCATCTTTTCACGCTGTGTAGCCTCTCATGCTTGCCTCAGGGCCTTTACCCTGGGCTTGCCTTTGTGAGGACAGGAAGATTTAGGAGGTATCCCCTGGTTGGCTCCTTGTCATTCAAGCCTCACATCGACGACTGCCACCCCAATGTAGCCTTCCAGGGCCCCTCAATCTAGGGGGCCCCTTGGTCGTTTGCCATTTCCTTCATGCCCATGCCCTGTGTCACTCCTATCTGACATGATCTTGTTCATTGCTTGTTTTGGGGTTTTCCCATAGTAGAATGTAGTCCACCTGTGAGCCAAAACCCTCTCTGCCTTCTTTATTACTCTATCCTCAGGCTTTATTTTTATCCTTAGTATGTGATAAAAATAAATTACTCAGATGGTATATCTGAGTAAATTTAAATATATTTTAAATATTTTTTATTTGTGATCAAGCCCACAACCCAGGCACGTGCCCTTGACTGGAATCAATCCTGGGACCCTTCTGTCCACAGGCTGACACTCTATCTACTGAGCAAAACCAGCGAGGGCTCAGATAATATATTTTTTTAAAATATATTTTATTGATTTTTTACAGAGAGGAAGGGAGAGGGATAGTGAGTCAGAAACATCGATGAGAGAGAAACATTGATCAGCTGCCTCCTGCACACCCCCCACTGGGGATTTACCCCCAACCAAGGTACATGCCCTTGACCGGAATCGAACCTGGGACCCTTCATTCCGCAGGCCGATGCTCCATCCACTGAGCCAAACAGGTCATGGCACAGATAATATTTTTGACTGACTGAATTAATTCTCTGGCTGGACTGGCTGTACCAATGCTTTTAAACTATTTCTTATTGCAGAATATTTAGATTGTACTTTGTCTTTTACTTTTTTTTACAGCATTATAAAAAGTCTTGTGCATATGGATAGTTTTTTCTCCTTTCCAACGTTAAATTGAAGCATTTTAAACATATGGAAAAGTAGAAAGAATAGTGTAATGAATAGCCATATACCTTCCATCAAAATAAAAAATTTGTTAATATTTTGCCACATTTATTTTCTCTCCCTCTCTCCATTTAAAAATAAGACTTCAAGATTCTTTACCCCTAAGAACTTCAGCATGCATCCTCTAAGAATAAGGACTCCTAAATAAACAAATTGCAAGCAGCACACCAAGGAAAGTTAATAATAATTAATAATTCTCTAATAGAACCTGATAGCCTATACAGTGGGGCCTTGACTTACGAGTGTTCTGACTAACGAGTTTTTTGAGATACGAGCTGTCTCTTGGCCGATTTTTTGCTTTGAGTTGCGAGCTAAAATTTGGGTTACGAGCCAGCTTCAGATACCCCACCGCTAGTTGGCGCAGCGAACGTCACAGTGAACACCACAACATCAGCCCAGCATCACGTGTCTCACTCGTTCACAATTGATTTGACATACGAGTAATTTGAGTTACGAGCTCCGTCACGGGACGAATTAAACTCATAAGTCAAGGCCCCACTCTATTTAAATTGCCCCAATTGCCTCTAAAAGTAGTTTCATGGCTGTTTTATTTATTTCAATTTTGGGGCCATGTTTCATGCCTTGTATGTTTTTGAATATCTCTTCAGATTCAGTCTAGAAGAGGCATTCCCATGTTTTTGTTTTTTTGTTCACTTTTTAATGACCTTGACTTTTTGACCAAACTGGATTAGTTTTCTTATAGAATACCCCATAGGATCTGCCTACTCATTTCCTCATGATGTCTTTACCTTGTTTTCCTTTCCCTCATGTTTCCTAACACTCAAAGTTAGATCTAGATGCTTGCCTAGATTATCTATGTATATAAAAGCCTAATGTGCTAAGTGTCCAACTGTTCCATTGACTGTTTGGTCGACCGCTTGATTAGTTGCTATGACATACAGTGACCACCATGGAACAGACGCTCCAACCGGTAGGTTAGCTTGCTGCTGGGGTCTGGCTGATCAGGACTGGGCAAGACAGGCCAGACATGCCCTGGAGCCCTGCTACGTCCCTCCCAGCCTCTGAAATATTTCTTCTAATTACTTTCCTTTCAATGTGCATGAATTCGAGCACTGAGCCTATAGTATGATTATAATCACTTATAGTCATAACTAGAGGCCCGATGTATGAAAATTTGTGCACTCGGGGGAATCCCTCAGCCGGGCCTGCGCCCTCTCGCAGTCTGTGACCCGTTGGGGAATATTCACCTGATGGCTTAGGCCCGCTCCC